AGTAGAATTTTTCGCATCTTCACAAGAAACACAATTGTATTTAGCAATACCATGCAGTTGATTAATATCTATAGTGTATGACAAATTTCATATTGCATGCGGACTACTGGCTGAATATCAGTGAATCAATACCTCAAAATAATAAAGGTCAAACTGAGCAATGCCAAAGCAGGAAGTACTTGGGACATCTTTATGCTTATCATTAACGTGGATTTCAACCAAATCTATTATTTTCCTATGCCATTTCAAAATAATTATGATCATAAATTGCTTAGTTCATTACACTAAAAAGAAATCACATATTTTATAGCTTTTTTTGTTTCTTACTTCGGTTTAATATCAAAGAATCTAATACTGGTAGTTATTATTGCTGTTTTCTATGATTATAATCATAATAATGCCTGCGAATTATGGTCCCGGATTTTAGGCTACGCAGGGCTACGGGACGGGACGTCCCGTGCTGTCCCGTCCCGTCCCGTAAAATAGTGACCACCCAAATGGGTGAATACATACAGCTATTATTTTTCCAAAGCGCCGTCTATGGCTTATATAATAGTCTAAAGGCATGTGAAAAACTCTGATTTTTGTTACAGTTTTTGTCCTTTATCCTAATTTTACTTACTTTTTGTGATGTAGGTTGAACAGATACACCTCTAAAAACAGACATTTTGGGATCTTATGATCTGTATGAAGCACTAGTGATAATAAAAGTGTCTTTAAGACACTTTTATTATCAAGTAAAGCTACGTGCCACTAATAGTGGCACGTAGCTTTACTTGATGCATGTTTTTAATATTGACACTCTCTCAGTTTTAGTTACCCTTAGAAAGTTATAGGTTGAATAGATTTCACACCTATTACGCATGGTAAAAAAGCATGCTTTTTCTCATTTTTCTTCAAAATAAAGTGCTGTATTACAGCTTTAACAGTTTCTGATAAGTAAGCAAACCTTCAGCAACAATATAAGCTATATAACTGCCCTGGATCTGGCTTCAAGCTACACTTAATCCAGCAGTCCTGTCAGTCATATTGCTCTAGTCTCAACGAGCCGGGGAAGGGGCAGAGTGCCAGAGTCTTACATAGTACATACAAGGTTCGTCCGCACCTGCTTTCATTGATTTGAATGAGATCACGTGATCTGTTTCCTATCCCTGTTACTTAGTAGTTAGTACATGTAATACAATATATGGCTATAGCGAGCTAGCTAGACTATCTATGGGTGGGGTTAGTATGCACAAAATAAAAACAGATGTTTCATATTTGGGGTGAGCTTGATGATTTTATTGGGGCGAGCCTGAGCTCGTCCCACGTAGTCTCGCTAGCCAGACCATTCCTCAGCCTACAGTCATTGGGGTAATGACTGTAGGCTGGGGAATGGTCTGGCTAGCAAGACTACGTCCCATGTCCACCATGACCATAGATACTGTTTCCATAAATTATAGTTGTGGCTGTTGTATGGATTCTGTGGTTAGCATACACTACAGTTGTTGTAGAGATGGACCTGATTTCTATTTCCACAATTGTGTTGTAAGGCTGTCCTATGGCTATATGGAAACCAGGCCCAAGGCAAGAAAGCATTCGTCTGTTTGTATGGTCATCTAACTATCAATCTACAATGCTCCCATTCTCAATGCTTGAAAAATTCCACAAATTTAGTGCTTTGTCATCTATGGAATAAAGCAACACAGTAATGAGAAAAATATCAATTGATTAGTAAAACAATTACTTTGACACTAGATAATATATAAAGAAACAGAATAATACTAATTATTATAATACTTTAGTTTTCTCTCAATAACAAGAGAACAATGATTCATTAAAAACACAAACTAATCACAACGAGTATAATAACTAGGAGTTTACTCATAAAGATTCATTCCCATACTCCCATACTCTCATGCCTGAGTGGCCTGGAATATTGGAGGCTGATACTCCCTAACTTGTCTCTGAAGTATATCACTGCTAGATAAATGTTTGTTTAATATAACAAAAATTTGATTATTAAGATCACGATAGACTTTGATACGCTTTATCATCTGCTTAAGATCCTAAAAGAAAAGGAGAGAAAAGAAATGATACTGTATTTATAATGTAATACATACATGTACGTTGTAAGAAAAATAGTACCCAAAGTCCAAAGATGCTTAATCACCTTTACCCTTTCTTCTCTCTCTCTCTCTCTCTCTCTCTCTCTCTCTCTCTCTCTCTCTCTCTCTCTCTCTCTCTCTCTCTCTCTCTCCCTCCCTCCCTCTCTATCCTCTCCTCTCTTCTATGTCACTCACAATTCCTTGTACATTTCCATCTTGTCCATCAAACTCATGAACACGAAGCAAGTGATAAGAGAAGTCCAAAGAAGCGAATCTCTTCTCTTGAGCTAACAGAGTCATGATGACACACCCAGCCCACTGTAACCCTTCACCATAACACTGCCTGTGAGCATAGGCGGT